CCTCCTTTTTTCTTAAAAATTAAAGTTGGTTGCTGTATTAGTTTCCTATGGCTACTGTAAGAAATGATCACAAATGCAGGGGCCTCAAACAGTCGTCCAGGTTAGACTTCCAACACCGGTCTCAGGGGACTACAGTCATGGTGTAGCCAGGACTGTGTTCCTTCTCGGAGGCCTCAGGAGAAGATCTGTTTCCTGGGCTCTTCCAGCTTGTAGAGGCTGTCCACGTTCCTTGATCCGTGCCCTTTTTGTCTCCAAAGCCAGCAGTAGCCTCAGACCGCATCGCTCTGACACTGATTCCTCGGCCCCCCACTTCCACTTTTGAGGATCCTTGCCGGTACATTGGGCCCACTGGATAATCCAGGCTCCTGTCCCTATTTTGAGGTCAGCTGATTAGAAACCTTAATCCCATCTGCTACCTTCATTCCCCTTTGCCGTGTAACTGGGATTAGGATGTGGACATCTTTGGGAGGCCATAATTCTGGCTACCAGAGTCGCCAACCTGAAAATCAGGAGATCTTATAGAGCAATGCGGACTTGGAGCTTCATTGACAAATCGGAACGCTTGGCAGCTGGGGGCCTGCACTGTTGCCTGGCAACAGTGGGTCAGCGCCAATGTCGGCGCTGTCTCTGGATGGGGTTTCGGGCGCCAGTTCTCCGCAGCCCCCACCCCTCCCATGATGCCTCCTCATTTCCCTTCGTTGCCTGGGCCCTGCTCTGGAGCCCAGGGCCTCACATAGCGTTAGTCACAGCAGCGCCTCGGGTGCAGGGTGGTAGAGCTCGCCAGCCTCCCTGTTCGATGCCCTCCTCCTTGCCTGAGCTTTAGATGCTCGTCTCACGCCCTCCTGTGCCTGGCGCATACCCACACCTCCCCTCCGTGCCCCCTTCTCTCTGACCCCGGGCTTCACATTCCAGAGCATCTCTGATGCTATTTTAGGTGGTAGTGTTTGTACCATAACTCCTTGTCTCTCGTCTTCTCCTCGTACATTCTGGTGCCTTCCATTTGATGTCTTGCATTGCCATTTGTGAGAAGCAAGTCTTTATGATGCACCTTTAGAGCGGTATCCATCAAAAGTCGGGACCACACAACAAACATTTAGTCAAACACCTACTACAGGCCATGCACTTTGCTAGCTACTGGGAATACAACAGGGAAGGATACCTGCCTTACTTCCCACCCCTCATCTAGTTCCCAAAGGGGAAGGAGGAGGAGGAGAAACACGTGGATAGGCAATTGCAATTTTAACCTATTGCATCTAGTGAGAGCCTGACAGCATCCTCCCTTCCTTGGATCTGGGAGGCGGGCTCTGTCTGCAGTGGCGGGGGTCCCATAGCTCTGTTAAAGGCATGTCAGTGAACAATTTCCTGGTTTCCTGCCCCTAGCTGATAGCTGAATTCTGGGCTGGCATGTTGGAGGCCTAGATAATGTATTGGTTTGCAGTGTGAAGGACTAGGTCAGACGACTCCCATGTGTTGCTGCCTGGCAGTGTGACCTGGGGCTCCGGTTCTTTTCTGAGCCCCTTTGTGTGGCCTCTTGTGGACAGGCCTGCCCCTGTGACCCTAAACTGTGGGGCGCAGGTGGAGAGCACCAGGTAGAGCCACCAGAATTTGACAGCCTAAGGGCATCTGGTCTTTACCTCTGCAGAGCATTCTCCAGTATATTAGATTTGGGAATTGCTTGAAAACAAAGCAAGACTTTCCATTATGGAGAATTTTAATTATGTAAATATAGTTCAGTGAACTCCCATGTAGGAGCTCCATCAACAGATGAACAGATCTACAAATCGTGGTCTATCTACACCCTCCCCGCTCTTCGATTACTTTCAAAGCAAATCCCAGACTTCATGGATAAGTGCCTCGATACACATCACTGGCAGAGGCAGATACAGACTCTTTGGAAACTTGTTTTTAAGAGAAGACTGGCCACCAGCCATCCTAATTTTGATTTTTTTTTTAAGATTTTATTTATTTGACACAGAGAGAGACATAGCAAGAGAGGGAACACAAGCAGGGGGAGTGGGAGAGGGAGAAGTGGGCTCCCCGCGGAGCAGGGAGCCCGATGCGGGGCTCGATCCCAGGACCCTGGGATCATGACCTGAGCCGAAGGCAGATGCTTAACGACTGAGCCACCCAGGCGCCCCCTAATTTTGATTTTTGAGTGCTCTGGGGTTGAAGCTGACTTTCTGCATGTGTGGAATAATGATCCATCTTTATACAAAATCTTAATGTGGGTTGAATTTTGTTAGTACTTCTATTAGGGCAAAACAGTGAGATTTATTTTTTAAAGATTTTATTAACTAATTTATTTATTTGAGAGAGCAAGTGAATGGGCACGCTCAGCACAGGGATGGGGCAGAGGGAGAGGGAGAGAGAATCCCAAGCAGACTCCGTGCTGAGCATGGAGCCCAACATGGGGCTCGATCCCATGACCCTGAGAACATGACCTGAGCCCAAATCACCGACTGAGCCACCCAGGCACCCCAAAACAATAAGAATTTTGCTATTTTAATTTTTGTATTGTAAAATACATGGGACACAAAATTTTCCATGGTAACCATTTCAAAGCCTTAAGAATTCAGTGGCATTAAGTATATTTACACTGTTGGGCAGTCATCGCCACAGCATAGTTAACAGACTTTTTTCATCACCCCAGAAGGAAACCTATACCCATTAAGCAGTTGCTCCTATTCCTCCCATCCTCCGGCCCCTGAAAAGGACGAATCTGCTTTCTGTCCCTAGGATTTGCTTGTGCTGGGCATTTCACGTGCATGGTATCATACATACGTGACCCTCTGTGTCTGGCTTCTTTCACTTAGCATAGTGTTTTCCATTTTCAGCCATGGGGTCATGTGTGTCATTCGTTTTTATGGCTGCATAGTATTCCATTGTGTAGATAGACCACGATTTGTAGGTCTGTTCATCTGTTGATGGAGATTTGGGTTGTTTCCACCTTGGGCGATGGGGAGTAGTTACCACTTTAACTTGTCAGTGCTTACTTTGAAATGTGAGGCGATGCATGGATCAAAAAGAAAATGTCACAAATAAGGGGGTACGAGGGTGGTTACTTATTGATTCCATTGATTTTAACACATTGACAAAGAGCTTCTTCCCGAAGTACATCCTACATAACAGAAAAGTATACTATGCGTAAGGGACTCAGAGGCCTCTTCTGCTAGTTTTTGGTTTTGGCGGCCGTGAGGCCTGCTTCCCGGGCTGCCAACCTTGGGGTGGGGGGACCCTGCTCTTAGACCTGAGACACCACAGCTATGGGTCTGAGGGTGGACAGCGGCCTTTCTCTGCATTAGCATTGAGGGAAATGCTTGACTTTGCCCCCTCCTGCGTTACGCGGACAGACTCAGTGTTCTTGGTGTTTTCATGAGTCACTTCCTTTATTTCTGTACCTCAGTAAACAGAGCCTGTGTCCTTGTGTTGTCATGACCACGTGCTGGAGTTCAGGGTGGCAGGTTAGGTAACGTCGTGATCAGGAGAACGAAGTGGATTTGGTAGCATATTGTATATATAGACATCGATCACGGTTACGCTCTTATTTCTAGCAAGGAGTTAGAAAACAGCCCTGGGTAAGTCCGTTGCTGACTGGTGGGTACCCTTCACAAGGGCTGCCCTGTGGGGTGAGAAGTGGCATATGCTCTCGTTGCATCATGCTGTGTGTTCTCCTTTTGAGGGTGTCAGGGAGATGTTCATCTCAGGTCCCAGGACAAGGAGGAACTTCTGTGAATCTGCTTTATTTCTCTCTTGTGGACAGTGTGAATCCTCTTTGCTTTGGCCGTCAGGAAGCTCAGCTCAAAGTCAGTCGTTCGTGCTAGCTCTAGTGTGGCCTGTACTTTGGGTTCTAACCCAGCCCCCCCCCCCCCGCCCTTTTCTTTCCTTATTGCTGGGATTTCTTTGTTTACTTGCTTTTCATTGTGCTCTGGGTTTCTCTAAGCCAGTGGTTCTCTGCTTGGCTCCTGTACTTTGTCAGGATCACTTGGGGAGCTTCTTTTTTTTAAAATGCCAATGCTCATGCCCCACCACCTTCTTTTTTAATTGTTCTGGGAGGGGGCCCGAGCCTAAGTATGTTTCCAAAGCTCCCCAAAGATTGACATGTGTGGGTTGGGAACCCGCTGCTTTAGGCCATTTCACATTTGTTTAGCAAGCAAGGCAGGGATAAATAGAGAAAAGGTGTAGTCTGGGAGGACAGCCTACCCCAAAGTAGGGTGGTTTCAGCTCAGAGAAGCTGAGTAAAAAGGATTATGTGGCTTCCAGTGGTTTTCCTGCTGGTGGAACCAGTGGGAAAGCTCCAAGGGACTTCTCTCTGTGGCCAGAACCGCAGAAGCCTTCACTCCTGGACCAGGGTTGGGGAGGAGCCACTGGGATTTTAAGATCTCAGGCCTGCCTAGGAGGAGTACAGCTTTGTAAGCAGATCTTTTGGGCCATTCAGGACCCACGTCCCATGCTTGGGGCCCAGTTTGCGCTTAATTCTTACTGTGTTTCCGTCTGCTCTACCAAAATAGATTATCTGTAATATAGTATTTCCAGGCTGATTTTCTTTTTTATCCTAAGTCTCGGAGAATGTTTAGGGTGCTTTTTGAAATGGTCATCAAGGAAAATTTGGAAGTAGGAAGAACCAAACTCAAACTTGGCCTATGGCCTTGTCACTGTGGTCGCAGTTAGTAGTTTGGTTTGTTTTCTCTAAGTTGTCGGTTTGTTTAGTACTACCTAGGGGTCTTGATGGTCTGTGTGACCATCACCGGGGTGGTGCAGAGCTTTCCCTTGAACGGCCACGGCCATGGCCACGGTGGGAAGAGGTCAGCACTTCCTGTGATTTGTCCCCTCCTCCCTTGCTGGGAGTGGCGGGGTCTGCAGCCCCCAGAGGCGCCGGGAGGCCATGAGGGAAGTCTCTGCTTTGCCGGATGGAGAGGGCTGATTAACCAGTTGGCTGTGGGTGAGGGTGGGGGAGGCTGTTGGTGCTGGTGCTGAGATGGGGAAGCGGTCAGTGGGGGGATGACTTCAGAGCTGGGCAGGGGAACCAAGGGCCAGTAGCACTGCGTGCGCTTCAGAGGCTTCCGGAGGGGGCCACACTGGCGTCTCTGGGCCCCAGTTCCCCCATCTGTGATGGACATGAGAGAGTAGGACTATGCGACACCTGATCTGCCGCCCCAGTCTGTCTTCCATTCTGAGGTAGGAGCGGCGGTTGAGCCGGCGGCTGTTTTGGTTGCTGAATGTGTCTTTTCCCTTTGGTGACACTGAACCTATGATGAGATGTTGGGGAGGTGGGTGGCAGCCTGTTCTTACCACACACTTGATTGCTTCTCTCCCCAGAAATCCCCAAAAGAAGGCACAGGCCAATTCCCTTAGGAAACGTGCTTGCCTGAGGTTCCCCAGCTCACTCCGATCCAACCCAGAGAGCGGGGTCTGGGTCGTGGGTCAGCTGGCTCACTTCAGGGAACCCGTGACCTGTCAGCGGCTGGTCATTTCCTTCTGGGGCCCTCGGCACTGGCGCCGCATGGGGACAGGCAAAGGGGTTAGGTGAGCGGGTCTCCCATGCCGGGGGAGGGTCCCTGATTCTCTGCCCACCGGTGTTATGCACGCCTGGCCGGTTTAGTGAGCCAACCCCCCCCCCCCCCCCGTGAAGAGAGGTCACTTTCCTTCCTTCCCGGGAGGAGGGCAGGCCCTGCTCTGTGCCGCGTTCCCCACCTGCCCACCCCATCCCGGGGCCTGGTGGTGGCGGGTGGCTTCGGACACACTTGTCACTCTGAGGTTTGCATTTGTGTGCTGCATCACACTACCAGCCGGTGGATATTTAAGGAATCTTTTTGATAGAAATTTAAAAGCTATTCTGAAGGGTTTTGGTGGTGTTTTTTCAAATTGGAAGAAGAAAATCCATTTAAAATTTGGAAAGGGGAAATGTTCCTTTTTAAGAGAAAAAACTCATTCTGTAACCCACTGGCTTCTGAGTCGAGCTCTCGGAAATGAGATTTCTAAAAAAACTGCCCTGTGAGTCTTATGGAAATATCATTTAAATCGGGCCGCCTGAGGTTGCTCTCCTTCCGGGAGGTCGTGTGGAAATACGGTTTTGCCTGTTTTTGTTGAAGACGAGAGTGCGCTACCTTGTTGATTTGGCATCTTTTGAGCCCTGAGTCACTTCAGAGGGAAATTTCCAGACAAATGAGTATCACCCCTTTGGGGGCCAAAGCCTGTCCTCACCTGCAGCTTTTGTTTTCCTCTTTCCCCGGCTGGGCTGCGGGTGGGGAGGTGGGCTGCCTGCGGGTGGGCTTGCTCTCTGATGGGGCCTGAGGTCGGGACTCCCCTCGCCCTGGAGTGCCTGGAGGAAGAGTCCCTGTCCTCTGCCATGGGCACCCGGGGCCTGTCCTGCGTGGCCTGCGTGCGCTCTTCTGGCCTCACCTGTCACCACTCTTCTCTCTCCACTTGCCACGCTGGGGACCGAGCCGTTCGTTTGGCTTGGAGTGCACTCTGCCTGCCGCTCGCCCACCTTGACCACCCCCTTGCCCGGTCCACACCTGGTCTGTACCCTTTGGGCTTCCATGGTAGGGCATCAGCTGTGTTTCCCTGCTCCCCATGGGCGGTGTCGTGAGCTCTTGGCAGACGGCTTGTGTTGGATGATCTGCATCCCCCAGCACTCTTGCTGCTGCCTGGCTGGTAGCCCGTGCTGAGGACTCACTTTGCTGCACAGTTTGGGGGGGGCTCCTAGCTTCTTGTTCTTCCCTCCCTTCCCTTCGCCCCTGGTGATCGAAGAGAGACCTGCTCAGGGCCCTGCATGGGGTGGTGTGGAGCTGAGGGGGGGGGGGGGAGGAGGGAGGGAGGGATGGGAAGGTGGGATGGGGGTGCACGGATCTCTGGGCAGTGCAGGGGAGAGTTACGGACAGCTGGGAAAGGCCACCACGGGCCACTTGCAGCCTTCCAGGTGTGAAACCTGCGGAGCCTGGCAGAGACTGCTGCAGGGCTTAGCTGCTGGAGCCTGCCCTTCAGCTTTCCAGCTGTGGTGGGGGCTCTAACAGATGGCCAGGCGGAAGGACAGAGGGCCTGGCTCACACTTAACTCCTGTCCTGCTCAGGCCACTGGCGTCTGGGACCTTTCGGCCAACAGCTTTGATTTTTCTTTCTTCTTTTTTTTTTTTAAATGAGGATAGGGCTTACATTTTTTTTTTTTTTAATGTTCTTTGGAATAGGCAACACATTGATAGGTCTAAAATGAAAAGATACTAAAGTATACTTTGAGGGATCTTCCCCTTCACCTCTGATCTCATCTGCGTTGTTCCCCACCTCCCTTCTCCTTAATAGATAACCCCTTTTAGGAGTTTGGATATCCTTTTAGTGTTTCTTTATGCAAATAAAACAAACACAAACTTACAAACTCATATCCTTCTTTCTCCCTTTCTGTTCGAGGAAAGGGCACACTACACACTACACACTACACCCACCACCGTAGCCTGGAGACTTTTCTAAGTCAGTACTTGGAGAGAGTTGTCATTATCTTTCAGCTAGGTAGTATTCCTTTTTTTGGCGGAACAAAAGCCGTTTTTCTTGTTTTATTTTGTTTTCAGTCCCATCCCCTATGCAGAGGCATTCAGGTTGTTTCTGGCATCATGCGCCTGCATCCTTACCTATGCATCCTTTCCGGCTCGTGCAGGTGGACGTGAGGGTCGCGTCCCCTGGGGACATTGCTGGGGCAGAGGGTAAACACGTTTGTGGTTTTGATTGATTTTGCCAACTTGCCCTCTGCAGGGGTGGTTCCATTTTGTGCTTCCATCCGCAAGTGTGAGTGTCCCATTTCCCCACAGCCTCGCCAAGAGAAGGTATAGTCAGATGTTTGGATTTTTGCCAATCTGACAGGTGTCAAAAGTATCTCCATGGAGTTTTGTTTTTGTTTTTGTTTTTTTGTTTTTTGTTTGTTTTAACTGGCTGCTTGGAGTTTATTTTCCACTTCGTGCAAGGCACACGGTCACAGGGTGTCAGGAAGGCTTGCGTGTGGCTTGGATAGTAAAGAGTGGGGTTCTCTCAGCTTCCTTTTTGGTGTTTTGCTATTTTGATATAAAAGAACCCAACTGCTTCTGCTCAATGTACTTTTAATTTGCATTTTTCTGAAGTGTGAGCCGACTATGTCATGTGTTTAAGGACCATTTATAGTTTTGTGTGGACAGTTCTTTTCCCATTGGGGGGGGTTATTGGTTGTTTATTTCTCAATTTCTGTGAGCTCTGTATGTTTTTGGAAGATAGTTCTTGTGTTGTGTTGTGAGTTGTAAAAATTTCTCAGGCTAGGAATTATTTCGATCTCGCCAGATTCTTCAAGTACCTCCCTCCCAACCCCATCTCCTGTGTTTAAAGATTCAGACTGTGGCCTTGGGACAGAGTCTAGTCTCTATTGGGACAGAACCACAAACCCTGGCTTCCTTCCAGGATTTTAAGTTAATTGACCACAGATATGTTTTCAACATGAACATACAATAGTGCGGAAGCATTTTGAGTCTGTATGGGGATGGGCCACGCGATGCTGTGAAAACAACCAGCCCCTCATGTGTCTGTGGCCTGACAGCAAAGGCTTATTTCTCCTCATGCTGTGTGTCCCGTGTGTGTGGTTATTGTAGTCATTCACAGGCCCAGGCTGATGGAAGCACCCTGTCTGTTTGCTTTGCTGCTGTTGTTGTTGTTGTTAACGGCTTTACTGATACATACCACGCAGTAAAGTTCACTTGTTTGAAATACACAGTTCAGTAGTTTTGCGTATATTCGGAGTTGTGCAACCATCAGCACGATCGTATTTTATAACATTTCACCCATTACTCCTCAAAACATCTCATACCCATTAAGCAGGCATCCCCTTCCCCCCCTCCCGTCGGGCTCTGGCAACTGTCAGCCTCCTTTCTGTCTGTGGATTTGCCTGTTCTGGACATTTCGTATCAATGGACTCACACAGTACGCGACCTTTTGGGGCTGGCTCCTTTCCTTCAGCGTATTTTCAGAGTCTGTCGCATTGTAGCATGTATCTGTACTGCATTCCTTTTTAAGGCTGAATAATATTCCATTTTATGGCTACACCACATTTTATTTGCCCATTCGCCTGTCGACGGACAAAGCTGTTCCCACTTTTTGGCCATCATAAGCAATGCTGCTGTGAACATTGGCACACGGGTCTGAGTGTGGACACGTTTTCCTTTCCTTCGGGTAGATAAGGAGGCGCCATCCTGAAGGTCTCCGCCATCACCACCACCTCGGAAGGCAGTTTGGAGAATCACACACTGGCTTAAATTTAAAGTGTTTGACAGAAAAACACCACATGTCACTTCTAGCACATTTTATTGGCCGGTGCCATGACTGACCTTAGAGGGGGTGGGGAAACGCAGAAGGACCTGACCTGGAAATCCTTGGCGAGTAGACTCATTAATACAGAGAAGAGCAATGGGCATTCGTGGGACCTAGGGGAGCGAGGCCGTGTGGACAGGTGAGGCCGGGAAGGGTTCCTTAGTAAGGCGGGAGCTCCAGGGTAGAAATCACCTGGAACAAAATGTGCCGGCCTTGAAAGCTGGTCGGTGAGAAGACCTCAGGTCCCCCAAGGAGCAGCTTAGGAGTGAGCATGTGATGGTGCTCTGGGAGAGAAGGCAGCCTCACTGGAGTAACCTTAAATCGGCCCAGGTTAAGGACTGGGCACGTCCCAAGTTTTCACAGGGGGTGTTGTGGCTCAGACCTCACCCCAGCTCGTGGCTCTGTGTTACTCACCCCCTTGCTTCTTACCTGTAAAATGCCTCCCCTGCAGAATTCTGGCACATAGTAGGCACAGAGTAAGTTAGAGCTGCAGCCGAGCCTGCGGGTGCCCAGTGCTTGTCCCCTGGCCGTCCCCAAGCCGTCCCCAAGCCATCCCCCGGCTTCTGGTTCACGTTTTCCCTGCGAGGCATAAATGTGCTGAAGGACTGCCCTGTTCTCATGGCCTGTTATCCCCAGGGTGGCCGAAGGGAGGAGGTTGGTGGTATTGACGTGGCCGATGAATATTCCGAGGCAAGTAAACAGTTCTTCCTCAGCCTCTGGCGCAACAAATTTCTCAACTGGGGTGTTTTCTGGGCCCAGGAGAAACTGCGCAGATTTGTGTATGCACCCAGCCAGCCCTCCGTGCTCGAAGCACCCCCTTTTATTATTTTTCTAAACAAATCAGGACAATGGCAATGTAAA